TAATACAGAGCATTTATTGCATCCTCCCCGAGAGGAGTACATTGTACCGTCGGCATCCCGATGACCCAGCATTGATTGCTCGGGACCCCGAGCAGTTAAGAAGAGAAGACATTCCTCATCAGAATCAGTGCGCACACTGCCTGTACCTAATGATCACCTACTGACTACACTGACAACAATCATGAGCTTTTGAGGTATAAATACTCCTTGCAAAAGGCAAGACGGGTATGCAACAAAAAACCTTTTACTACAATACACACTCAGTGTTTTCTCCTTCCTCTCTCTCTCTAAAAGACTGACTAGATCGTCGGAGGGGATACGCCGGAAAACACTCTGGTGCCCTTCTAACTTGTTCTTCTTTGTTCCAGGAATCTCTTTCAGCCTTACTGGATCGTTCTTCTGCTCCCCCAGGGTCTCCCGTTGCCGTTCCAGGTTACCACCGGACCTCGCAGGCTGTTCCAAGCAGCATGGTTGGTCACTCAACTGGCTCACTCGAGTTCACCAAGGGAGAGATCTGTTCTCATTTTTTATATTGTGCAGGATCTTGCACGCACAATACTCAGAATAAAGCTCGGAGCACTTCGAGTCTTTGATTGTGTAGAATACCGGTTTAGACTTCGGCTCAGTGTAGTTTATCGAGTCAACCTGTCGAATCGGGTTGATTTTTAAAACACCACTTAATACTATATAATTATCAACAATAGACACTACCACATCACACCTGTGTCAAGATCGAAGCTAGAGATTTCAATTTGTTTTTTAAATACTAAAGAGTAGTTATAACTCCCACAAAATTGTCATATCTATATAACACCCAAACTGCTGTAACAAAAATTGAGTCGTAGTCCATTAACGCGTAGATTTTTTTTTTTCTTTCAACAGTTAAGAGTGTTTGGATTAATTTATATATATTTTAATTAAAATTTTCTTTTGATCAAATTAAATATAGATCATTCACATTAAAATTATAATATTCATAAAAAATAATTCTATGAATTCTAAAATATTACTAAAATTTAAATTCAAGAATTCGAAATTCACGGCTGACAGTTGTTTCCACTCCTCCACCTAACCTCTGGGTTTACATTGTAGATTTACAACCGTTAAGTTTCTTAGGGCAAAACCCAGTGGTCTGTTTTTATTTCTCCAATGCCTGCTTCTGCTGTCTCCATCTCCAGTCGATAATTTTCCAGTCCCCTGGTCATTTTTGTCTTTTCCTGCACCTCTCCCTCTCTCTCTTTCTCTCTCTTCCCCCCGAAGTCTGATTTTTTTGTTTCTCTCTCTTGAAAACTCTCCTTCCTCAGTCAAGCTCTGATTTTTCTTCCCCACATAAACACCAGAACCCATCAACTACCTGCTCTCACCACCCACCATTGCCAAACTAAAACCAACTTTCCTGTTCCAAACAAACCCATTAAGACCCGTTGTATTTCTTTCGATAAAAACCACGAATAATCATGGCCAAGGTCAAATTGAAGATTTTTCTATTTTGAATGCCAGCAGCTTTCTGATGAATGATATATAACGAAACAAGAAATTTCTTCTTAAGGTATGTTCTGGATCAGCATCATTCTCTGTAAACCCCCTATAGATATAGACCATGTGTCGATTTTCATTTGTTTATTGTTAATTTGACATTTTATTCCATTATTATTGGACTCGATTTTTAATTTTAATTTTATATCTCTTATCGGAGGTTTGGCAGAAAGCATCTTATATTGGTTTTGATATGATGATCTTTCAGGGGTTTTGTATTCTCTAGACATTGAGTTTTGGTGTTCGGCTCTGCAGGTTCTTCTCAAAAGTCTTTGACTTGAAATTTTGTTTGAGGTGTTTCTTCTTTTTGTGGTAAGGTTTGTCTAAACACGACTGCAGATTCTTCATAGCTTATATGTGCATGTGTGTACATCTCTCTCTCTCTCTCTCTCTGTGTATGTGTGTGTGTGTGTGTGTGTGTGTGTGTATGTGAAGCTTTCTTTGTTATTTTGGTTCAGAGGTCGCCATTAGAGTCTGCTTATAGTGTTATGTTCTTGTGATATTTTCTGAGCGACGAAGACAAACTGAGTCGCACTTTTCTCGAGGTGTTCTTGGAAGGTAACGGTAATATTTTCAAGGTCTAGTCGACGGCGATGATTGCTTTGTTGTGTGATAGTGTAATATATGATTCTACACCCGCATGTAGAGGATCATAGTAATCGTTCACTATTCGTGTGTTTCCTATATGGAGTACGGATTCGCCTGCGGGCAACCTCATGTCATTTGTGGCGAACACTAGTGAAAACAGGTGTCACGTGAACTGCACGTGGTTGGGTATGTAGAGACGTGCCTAATCACGTGGGGTTTTCGGGGAGGTGTGGGGTTCACTTACTATTTTGTTCTTTAAAGCCGGGTCCACTTACCATTAGAGTTACTCTTGTTTGGGAGTGTTTATGGCCGTTCTTTTTGCGGGCCATGTTCGTATCTGTCGGATGTGAAGCCTAACGTTCATGAAAAATCAGAATTGTGATAAATGTTTGTCTAATGCACTCATGAGCGCCCAGTGATTTTTTGCAGTAGGCCACATTAGGTTGATGTAAGATCAAATAGGATGTTTTGCTAGCAGTAAAAAACAAGACAACATTGGTGTATATGTTGTTGTAAACCGATTTTTAAGGTAAATTCTATTTATATGTTTATAATAATTGGTATTAAAATTAATCATCAAGTCAAATATGTCATCGAAATGGAAGATTTTTTAAGATTTCTTTTGGGTTGGGGGGTGTCCAATGAAAATTATAAAGTATTAAACTTCACCTCCACCTCCACCTCCACCAATCTTTCTAGACTGTGGTGGCATGATATAAATTTGGAATGTCATTAATCTTTCATAAATTATGTGTGTTGGATCAATCGTGGTGTTTCGTGTGAGTCTCATTATACAATAATCTCGAGGGAGTACCTTGGTTATCTTTGATATTCGTTTGCTTGTGTAGACTTGTGTTAAATAGAATTTGCGATTGTAATACACAATTTAGGTTGAACATGTGATATAACTACACTTATAACTGTGATTTTAATATTTCTTAGAGTCAACCGGCAGTAATAATAAATTGTCTAGATGTTTTTTTACATATCAGAAGTTTTCTTAAGTTGGTATTTACCACCACACCCACTTGGCCATTTTATTACACCGGCTTTGGCATATCATGATTCATTAGGTCCTTGTTTATGATCAAATTGACAAGTTTAATGGAGGAGTATAGTAGAAAGAAAACACGTTCATCGTCTCTGTGATTATTTAAGTGCCTCCTTAGGTCTATCAAAGGGCACCCATTTATTTGTTTTTTTTTTTTCATACTGATATGGCTTCCCAAGTTAGTTAGCACGGAGCTGTTATGTTTCTTGTGGTCAAACCATTGTATATGGAGTAGAATATTTTAGCACAATAGAAGAAATCATACTTTTCACAAGTTGTTAACCCCCCCCCCCCCCAGTTACATTCTCCCCCTGATTTCCAATGTGCATTATACTCTTGCTGCAATGCATCCATATTTTGAACGTGCCATCGTATCCAATATTCTTCACCTTCTCTCCCTGATCTTTTTATCTCTCCTGTTCTGTTCTCTCGATTAAAATCTGCTTTTTTGACCTTCCAAAGAAAAGCAAATCAGCAACTTTCAAAGGTAGAGCAAAAACAGATCCTATCTACCTTAAGTGTCCTCGATCCAAGAGTTAAAGCATACTGCTTTTCTCTTTTGTTGAAACATGCTCATCATTGTCATCATAGCATAATATTCTTTTTCTTCTTTTAACTATTGTTGTTTCATTATCTGAAGTACTCAGTCCCATTTGTGCAATCCTAATTGTAATATTTTCTCTATCATCACTTTCTGATCTTTTGTTTCAGATGGATTCAGTTAAACAACCTGCGGTGACCCCAAGTAAGAGCAGATTGGCCCGCACTTTTGCTAAGGTTTTACACATTCGGGCTGTAACAGGTGTTGCTCCAGTCGATGGAATTCAGAAAACCAAGTCCCATGAAAATGCCAAACATGATGCCATAGACAGAGATGAAAAGCTTCGGACCAGACCAGCCACTGATCCCAAGCATCGTTCAAGCTTTGGGTCTCTGTTGTTGGACAACGAAGATGAAAAGCTTTGGATCAGAGCAGCCATTGATGGAATTCAGAAAACCAAGTCCCATGACAAAGTCAAGCATTATGACATGGACAAAGTGGAAAAGCTTCGGATCAGAGCAGCCACTGAAGCTTTTCTTGCAAAACTGTTTGCCAGCATTTCTTCTGTTAAAGCTGCATATGCCCAGTTACAGTTTGCTCAGTCTCCGTATGATGCAGAAGGGATTCAATCTGCTGATCAGTTGGTAGTTTCGGAGTTAAAAAAATTGTCTGAATTGAAGCATTGTTACTTGAAGAAACAGTTTTATGCTGCTTCTCCTGAAACTGCCCTATTGTCTGCTGAACTTCAGGAGCATAAGAGTCTTCTGAACACCTATGAAATTATGGCAAAAAAGTTGGACTCTCAGCTTAAGCTCAAAGACTCGGAAATCACCTTTCTTAGAGAGAAATTGGAGGAGGACAAGAGAGAGAAAAAGATGCTTGAAAAGAGATTGAATTCAAGTGGGCCATTATCCATTCATGACAATCTTCATTTATCAGGCTTGAGCCCCAGCCATTTCATTACAGTTCTTAGGCAGACAATTAAATCAATTAGGAGCTTTGTTCGGTTGATGATCAGTGAGATGGAATCTGCAGGGTGGGATTTAGATGAAGCAGCCGATTCAATTGAATCGGATGTCATGTACTGGAAGGCGAACCACAAATGTTTCGCATTTGAGTCCTTTGTTAACCGAGAGATGTTTGATGGTTTCAACTACCCGAACTTCTCTCCTCCAAATGAGACTTTGCTGGAGCGAAAAACACAGCAGCGTCTATTCTTTGACAGATTCATGGAATTGAAATCCATGAAACCAGAGGAATATCTTGCCTGGAAGCCTAAATCAACCTTTGCGAAATTTTGTCGCTCCAAGTACTTGAGACTTGTTCATCCGAAGATGGAATCATCGCTTTTAGGCAATACGAATCAGAGAAAGTTGGTGAGTTCTAGTAAATATCCTGAAACAACCTTCTTTGCCACATTTGCTGAAATGGCGAAGCGGGTTTGGCTCCTGCATTGTCTGGCCTTCTCTTTCGAACCTGAAGCCTCAATCTTTCAAATGAGGAAAAGGAGTCGATTCTCTGAAGTGTACATGGAGACCGTGAACGAAGAAGCATTCTTATCATCTAATGGCACACCGGAAAGTGAAACTCGTGTGGCTTTCACAGTGGTTCCGGGGTTCAAGGTTGGCAAAACTGTTATACAGTGTCAGGTATATCTATGTTGATCTTAAACTTGGATTGATCATTGATTTGTTGTATGCAAAGATCCAAATAGTCGCCTGAATTTATGCCCACGGCATGAAAGGATTGAACTGGAGGCCACTGGCTTGATTGATATTCTGAGTAAAATCGTAGAGATGTGGGTGCCATCAGCCATGGTGAGTGGTTGCCGAGTGTGGGCTTTTTGTCTCGTGTTGATTTGAAAAGGAAAGTGGGTAGACAGTAGTGTGGGAACAACCTTTGAAAATTCATAGAATCCTAGGGGGTATTGTTAGCTGTATATTATACGATTCCTCTATACCAAAAAGGTGTTTCTCTGTGCCATTATATATCAACAGATGGAGATTTTTTACTTTTGTGCATACCTAGCTGCTTTTTGGATCATTTGCTTAGTTATTGTGACATTTTTTTTTTGGGGGGGTTGGTTAGTTATTGTGACTAGGTGGTTGTGTTGGGGCCTAGTGTATGACCGACCCTTTTTCAAGTTTTAGAGGTGAATCCTCAGAAGGACTCCAATCTCTGGGAAAGTCCCCAATAGCAACTGTGTCAATCTTTGTTGGCTAGCTTGGTTGGTGGATGGGTCGATTTTTTTTTTTCTTTACAAATCTCTTCCTTAGAGTGCCATGTAACCATACCTTTTCTGAATGGTATATTTTGAAGAGCGAATNATTGGTGGATGGGTCAATTTTTTTTTTTCTTTACAAATCTCCTCCTTAGAGTGCCATGTAACCATACCTTTTCTGAATGGTATATTTTGAAGAGCGAATCACATAAATAAGATTGATCTATACATACTCATTTCAGGTGCACACATGTTGGAGATGGTTATTATCAAATAGATAGAAACCAAAAATAGACAAAGCTTTCACTCATTAAGAATTGAAAACACGTAACTAGATCGTTATGAAGATGGATGCGACTGAAATAGGTGGCATTTGAAAACGTAGCTTAACATTTAGGGTCCGTTTGGTAATAGTTCGGTTTCAATTTTTTCGTTTTTGTTTTCAATTTTTTAGAAAACCTGAAATTTAAACTCGTTTGGTAACCGTTTTAATTTTTTTTTTAACTAAAATTTGTTTTCAAAATTGCCTCAAATTTGGAAACGAAAAAAAGTCGTTTCCAAAAAAAAAAAAAAAAAAANTGGTTTTAATTTTTTCGTTTTTGTTTTCAATTTTTTAGAAAACCTGATATTTAAACTCGTTTGGTAACCGTTTTAATTTTTTTTCTAACTAAAACCGTTTTCAAAATTGCCTCAAATTTGGAAACGAAAAAAAGTCGTTTCCAAAAAAATAAAAATAAAAACGGAAACGGGCGGACGACATTTAATGAGATCCTACCATCGAGTCTTATTAGCAACAAATTAAGCCTCTACCAAAAAACCATGCTCCTCCTTCGGTGAGATCCACCTACACTTTCTTCCCCTTCTGCAGATCGAGTAGGTAGAAAAATATATCTTTAAAACAAAAAACAAAAAAATAAATGATTCTATCATCTCTTCCATAACTGTGTGTACCTACATNGGCAGATCGAGTAGGTAGAAAAATGTATCTTTAAAACAAAAAAACAAAAAAACAAAAAAATAAATGATTCTATCATCTCTTCCATAACTGTGTGTACCTACATTGAAAGTGGTAGTTCAAGAAGAAGCATGTGATTGAGAAATTCTTTTGCAGATCTTTGTCACTGGGAGAGGATGGGCTTGTTTAATGGGACTGTTATCATCTGGTGAGCTCCAATCTGTTCCTGTGACAGATTTGGCATGTTGATCATCCATGGTAGATGACACAATAAATTTCATAGTTGTGGTATTAATGTGAGGGTCGGATTGAGCCAGGTCTGTTACATCATTGAGATACTTCGAATAAATCAAACTACATACTTCGAATAAATCAAACTACATATAAGATCTGTCGGTGCTAAAACCTTGAGAAAGATGTCATTGCTCTATCAAAGGCTAAGGGACCTCCATATGGCAAAGTCAGATTGGCCATGGCCCGATGAATCACCGGGCTTCCGGGTCATTGCTTTAACGGTAGGGGTCATATTTTTTGTAGCAAAACATGTTGAATGATTGGCCATGCAAATCTCTTGTTCTTGGTTGTTTGATGTCGTATCATCCTTTTTTTTTTTGTTCAACAATAGGAGTGTCCGATTTAGCTTATAAACACTTTGATTAATTTTTTTTTCGATCTGATCCGGTCCGATCAAAGACATGTTATATATGCCTAAATTAGTTTCATGGCCTGACCTAAGTGGTTATAAAGATTCAAAAGTCAAAACGCTTGGGTTTAGAATTCTTTTTTTTTTTTAAAGAAGCTTGGAGAGTAACAAAACAATGGCCTAAAGGGTCATTTTGGCATGGTTAGGTGCGTATCTCAATCACACACAACGTGTATCCAAATACTTAATACATCGTGCTAAGCTTAGTTGATCCTAAGAATAATGTTATTAAATATCAAGTGCTAGAAACATGGGTTTACTGGGTCAAAATAGGCTTTCGTTCAACGGGTCTTTGGTTCAATGATACTCCTTATTTTGTGAAGATTTAACCTTTTTTAGGTCAAGGGTTCAAGCTCCCTCCCCTCCCCTCTCCCTCTCCCAAAAAATATAAAAAAAAAATAAAAAATAGAGAGGCTTCCATGAAGGCTTGTTCGAGTCTTATCTGTGTAATAAACAAATAAAGTTTGAACATAATTTTAAGCTTGTAAAGCTAATTCACATTAAAAAAAATGTCAAAAATCAAGTCAATTGAATTCAGCATTACAAAAGTTTGATTCAACTCGTTTCCAATCAAAATTGGACAATATTTAAGCTTGGGATCGAATATCTCAGTAAAAATGGGATTGTCGGGTCTTAAATGTTCGATAGAGTATCCCGGGCAGCCCAAAACTCGAGCTCGGTGCCATCTCACTTACAACGTGAGTTAATCGAACAAAAAATTGATACAAAGTTATTGAATATAAAATTTATATTATTAATTTTGGATTGTAACTAAATCGATTGATTAGACTTTTCTAAAAAATGGATCAACATGAGTTTAACTATATACGATTTTACGTGACTTGTATACGACATGAATATGTTTATGATTTAAACTTGACTATATCCTATTGTAAATGTGTTGAGTATGAATTTGAGATATTTTAGACTCGAGACGGATAAGACACATTTAGTACACAAGTAGCACAGCCTTGTTTAAATCTAACAAAAATTACAGCTACGCTCAAATCACTATAACTTGATCCTGGTTAAAGGACAATTAAAATTAGAGGCGGTAAATAGGTGAGCTGGGTTGGTTATGAGTTACGTTAAATTGAGTTGGGTTTAAAATAAATCTAATTTATTTTTTAACGGTTGGTTTATAATGGGTTAGGTTAAACTTAAACCAATTAATCCATAAAAAAATTAAAACTTTTAATAGGCATATACTATTATACCAAGATAAACACATACTGTTACACCAAAATACGCACACATATATACCAAAATACACACTATGACACTAAAATAAACACATACACTTACACCAAAATATACACACTATTACACTAAAATACACACACTATGACACTACAAAAGATTAGGATTTAGTTTTGAATTAACCAAAAAACATACCAATAAAATCCAATTAACTGAATTTAAATTAAAACCAAATTCGATCCATTGACATGGCTAAGTGGCACCACCGGTGTCTGAAGGGTTAGCAAACAACAAGATTTTTACTCATTTGCACCGGAAAATATTCAAAATAATAGTGACGTCACGTAGGGTTGATAATCGAGTTAAACTACTCGAGTTCAGTTTGAATTCGACTTGTGCAGGGTTTCATTTGAGCTGGCTTCATTCGTTTAGAAAAATGAGCCTACAAAGTTTAACTCGAACTCGCAAAATTCTAGTTGTTTATATACAAAATAATTAAATTGTTCAAGTTCAGCTCGTTTTTAACTTGATTCGGAGCTTGAACAATTTTTTTGACTCGTTTAAAAAACGAGATCGGAGCTCGCAAAACTCAATTCGATTATCAATCCTAACTTCCCGTTATTAACTAACATATAAGATTAGTGAATTCTATTAAATTTTATAAATATTAATAATTTTTACATGTATTTATTAAATAATTTATGACATTTACATTGAATATTTTCCAGTCCCGTTAGAACATCGACCAGATTGTACTAAGATTTGCCAACAAAACACAAATCAAACTAAAATTTAATAGAATATTGATGGTAGTTAAACAACTCTTATTTACTTAGGGTAACGTTTTCGTTTTAATGTTTTTTTTTATATATATAAAATAAAACTAATTTTTGTTTTATTTTTGATAAAAAATAAAAATATAAAACATATTTGATNCACCCCTAATTAAAACCAAACATTTCTTTTGCTAAAATAATTACAGGGGAAAACCCAAATTGTATGAATTGTTCTTCTTTTGTTAGATTATTTAAATGATTTAGTTAATCATTATGTGGTAGATTAGAGTGGAAAATGCATAACAAACACAATTTTATCACAACATCAAAAGACGATGATGTGACTGTTGTATTATTATTATTATAAATAATATTACATTAGGGATTCTTTGTATTGGTATATGAATAAACTAGTAGACCATATCAAACTGTACAGAATCTTATGTGAGGTATTACCCTCCTAGAAAAAGTCCAAAATTCAACTTTAGATAGGTTCATGCAATATGAAATAAACTATCTTGCTGGTGGTGGTTGGAAAATGCATAATCTATTTGAATAATTTTTTTATATAAAAAACTATTTTCCAACCTGCCCGGTCAAACCATGGTTACTAGCTCTCTAATGCTAACCATTGAGTTCAATTAATTACTAAAAAACGATATCAAGTGGTCGAATTTGAA